CATTAGCAAGAAAATTCTTTACCACTGAGACACATGAGAAGTCACCTTCCACATCAGAGCCTTGATCTGTGAGAGGGGATCGGCCTGTGTTGACCGAAGCCATCGCTAGGTGTTGGGACCTGCGTCTACTTATGGCTGGAGAAAGTTCTAGCTGTCTCGGCAACAAGTATAAGATCCTGACTTCAAACAACTATTTGTTTCATTCTCTCATTCTGTTTCTTGAATCCAAGCAAGATGCTGACCCAAGGTCCCACTGGGGGTTAGTGACTCAGGCTGGACTAGATCCCAGGTCTCCTGAACCCCAGTGCAGGGGCCTCTGGACATCCTTGGCCCAGACCATCTAGGAAGGACAAGCAGCCTCTGCTCATAGACCACCACTCTGGGGAAGACCCAGATTAACGTTCCCATGTATCCTGGCTGGGGCTGGCAAGCTGGCTCCTAGGTGTGATACCAGGGGTTTGCTGTCAGTTCCTGCTCTCACCAATTCCCTACTGGCTTCCCTATTGCCCCAGGAATAAATAGACTAGGTCTTCCTCCTGGCAGTATCTGGGTGTTATTTCCATCTGGCCTTAGGGAGCCTCTCCCAGGAAACAGGCAGGAATGAGGTAGACTTTCAAGTGTATGGAAGGAATGTCAGGTATGCAGGAGGAGGGGCTGGGGCTCCCCAGAACCACGAGGTTCCTCCCCTGCTGGCTGATGGGGAGGCTGTGCCCCGCTTTGCACAACCCTATCCCTGGGATCACACAAACAGATCCCTGCTCCCTGCAACGTGACTTCAGGTGGCCAAAGCATGGATGGTCTGGCTTGACCCAGCCCTGGTTGGATCCTCCAAATGATATAGTAGATTAAGAGCTTATATGTCTTAGGAGTGGCTGGAGGAAGAGGCTCTAGGCTGTGTCTCCTTGCATTGATCCAGGATCCAGATACTCTCGTTTCTGCTCGGTGGCTTGTTGGCACCTCAGAGCTGTTGCCTAAACTCACGGTTGCTGCTGGGGAAACACCTGGTGACTCCATGACTGTGATGTGCAGGGCTTCAAATACATCTGGAACCCCAGCTGCCAGGGCTTGTGGGAAAGGCAGACTGATGCTTCCCAGCCTCTGCAGACAAGGAGGCCCTCAGTGAAGAGGGCCAGTGAAGGGCGATGGTGCCAAGTGTCCTTCCTACACATTCCTCATGGTTCCCCATTGCCCTCGGCTTATTATAACTCCATGTGTGTGTGTGTGTGTGTGTGTGTGTGTGTGTGTGAGTTGCTTAGTTGGGCCCAATTCTTTGTGACCCCATGGACTGTAGCCCGCCAGGCTCCTCTGTCCATGGGGTTCTCCAGGCAAGAATACTGGAGTGGGTTGCCGTGCCCTCCTCCAGAGGATCTTCCCAACCCTGAGAATCCACAACCATTAACTCAACAGCACTGAGACTTTGGGATAAGGTAACCCTGGGTTCACATCTTGCCTCAGCCCCTTCTTGAAGTACCGAAAAACCCTTGCAAAAACTTCTGTCCCATCCTACCACCAGCCTCCTCAGAGAACCCCTTCCTACTGTGCCCACCATGAGAACTCACTGTCTGGGATGGCTCTGTCTTCTGTGTGTGTGTGTGCTCAGTCGTGTCTGACTCTTTGCGACCCCATGGACTGTAACCCTCCAGGCTCCTCTGTCCATGGGATTCTCCAGGCAAGAATACTGGAGTGGGCTGCCATTTCCTCCTCCAGGGGATCTTCCCAACCCAGGGATCAAGCCCCAGTCTCCTGCATTACAGGCAGATCCTTTACCATCAGAGCCACCAGGGAAACCTTATTACAACCCAGATAGCTCCCATGGCTCAACAGCTATGTCCTCAGTTGTATGCCTCACCACTCTCTTCCCACCTTTTGTGTGTTCCCTACACCCCCAAGTTCTGTGGTTCATACATGATGGTTTCAGCCAGACCCTCTCCCCACTCTCTTCACGTGCCTTCCATTCACCCCCCAGATTTCAGTTTAAACGCCACCCTCCTGAGATGTCCCTCAATTCAGAGGATGAGGTCTATAACATTATGACATCCTGATAACATCTTGGACATCGTCTCCTGAGCACTCTTCTGTTTTTTGTGGCTTTGTTGTCAAGAAAGACACTTGAGAATCAGGCCTCGTTGTGCCTCAGTGAGAATGAGTTTCGTCTGGAACCAAACAGATCAAGGGTTTCAGATTGAGATAAACCACACCAGCGGTAACCCTGCATGAGCAGGTGGGGATCTAAATCACACTGTAAAGTGAAGTTACTCGGGGGAAGTATCATTCCAGCAACAGAACCAACGAGAGATTGGTCAGCACCGGTGTTGTGGACAGTTCCCTGTGTTCCCTGGACTGACAACATCTTCTGCATTCAAATGTTTTTACTTTTCGTTTTTTGGAGAATTAAGTGTATTTATTTTTGGCCATGCTGGGTCTTCACGGCTGCTTGGGCTTTTCTCTAGTTGTGGCGAACTACCTCTCTAGTTGCAATTGGATTCTCTTGTTGCAGAGCACAGGCTTTAGGCCTCTTGGGCTTCAGCGGTTGTGGCTCCCGGGCTTTAGAGCACAAGTCCAATAGTTGTGGTGCACGGATTCAGTTGTTCCAAGGCAGGTGGGATCTTCCCAGACTAGGGATCAAACCTGTGTCTCCTGCATTGGCAGGCGGATTCTTTACCACTGAGCCACCAGAGAAGCCCTTGATTTTCAGTTCCAATTCTGTATATATTCTGGAGACTACCTTTCAGATCTTTATTAGATTTGTGATTTGCAAATATTTTCTCCTATTCTGTGAGTTGCATTTTCACTTTCTTGACAGTATCCTTTGATACACAGAACTTTAAACTTTTTAAAAAGCCCAGTATAGCCTGTATTTTTTTTTTCCTTTGCCTGTTTGCTTTTGGTGTTATGTCTAAGAAACGATTTTCAAATCCAAGGCCATGAACATTTACTCTGTTGTTTCTTCTAAGATTTTTCTAGTTTTAACTCTTCCATTTAGGGTTTTTTAAAAGATGATTTAAATTTTATTATTTTGCTTGTGCTGGGCTTCATTGTTGCGTGGGCTTTTTCTCTAGTTGTGGCGAGTCGGGGCTACTCTTCTTTGCAGCATGTGGGTGTCTCATTGCAGTGGCTTCTCTTGTGGAGCACAGGCTGTAGGTCCACGGGCTTCGGTAGATGCAGTGTGCAGGCTCTAGGGTGTTTGAGCTTCAGTAGTTTTGATTCCTGGGCTCAGTAGTTGTGGCTCATGGGCTCTAGAGCGCAGGTTCAGTAGCTGTGGCAAACAGGCTTAATTGTCCCATGATATGTGGGATCTTCCCAGACCAGGGATCGAACTGTGTCCTCTGCATTGGCAGGCAGATTCTTATTCACTGGGCCACCAGGAAAGCTTTTTAAAGTTTTTAAAGTGAAGACAAAATCATGGAAGATAGGAGAGTGTGCACGGCAGAGAATCTTCACAAATACTTGGTAATCACGTATTTTTGGACTGTGTGTAACTCACATAATGATGCAATATCTATTTTTCCCAGTGAGTCACATAGATTAATAAATACACAAGAGATTGGAAAGACTCCAGGCACAGGCTTGCCTGCTGCTTTCCAAAGATCCGGTGACTCGCTGTCCCATTGTGTCTTTCAAAAAAATGGGCTCAGCTCTCACGTCGTCCAGCCCAGGTGTTTGGCACCCAGTCCAGTAGGCTTGGCACCCAGCGTGGTGTTTCTACCAAAAAGAGGGTTGAGGTTGGTGTGGACATGGGCCAGTTCCTAAGAGAAGCCAATTGCCCAGGGCGGGCTTGGAGTTGGCATCTCTCGGGAGTGAGGAGCCAGTCCTGCCCCCATCCGGAGTTCAGAGCCTGGCCTCTCCGGGTGGCTGAGTCAGTTCCTGGGTGGACAAGTGGGAAGAGATTAGGGCAGTGGGGGTGGTTCTGAGAGGCTGTACTCAGGGAGGCTGTGGGGGGCCCGACCAGGGCTCCATAGACACGGAGGATGCCAGCCCCCAAAGTGATGAGGCTTTGGAGTCAGAGAGCCTTGGGTTTGAACTTCTACAAATAGACCATTTATAGGCAACACCTTGCATGAGAGGTCTCAGTTTCTCATGTTGGACTCTGACAGTTTTTTTAAAAAATAATAATTTTATTTATTTATTGGCGGGGCTGGGTTCTTCGTTGCTGCGTGGGCTCCTCTCTAGCTGTGGCGAGCGGGGGTTACTCTCTAGTTTCAGCGCTCAGGCTTCTCATTGCGGTGTCTTCTCTTGTTTCGGAGCCCAGGCTCTAACCTGGGAGGCCTTCTGTAGTTGTGGTCCCCTCGCTCCAGAGCACTGGCTTAATAATTGCGGCACCTGGGCTTAATTGCTCTATGGCCTGCGGCATCTTCGTGACCCAGGGATCCAACTTGCGTCTCCTGCATTGGCAGGCAGATTCTTTACTACTGAGTCACCAGGGAAGTCCAAGCAGCTTTTTATTTTTATTTTATTTTGTTGAAGTATGGTTGATTTACAATGTTGTGTTCATTTCTGCTGTTCAGCCAAGTGATTCATTGTACATATACATACATTCTTTTTCATATTTTTTTATTATGATTTATCGCAGGATATTGGATATAGTTCCCTGTGCCATACGGCAGGACCTTGTTGCTTATCCATCCCGTATACGCGAATTTGCATCTGGTAACCCCAAACTCCCAAGTCTGTTCTCTATGTTTGTGTGACTCTGACAGCTTTTGAGCTTCACCTCACTCGCCTCCAAGGCATTTCTGGGGAGACCGTGCTCTCCTTCCCTTGGGGTCAGAAGGAAAGTCACACCCTCAACCCCAGTCCACATTCAAGAACCTCACTCTTGAGCTTCCCTGGTGGTTCAGTGGTAAAGAATCCTCCTGCTAACGCAGTAGACACAGGTTCCATCTCTGATCCGGGAAGGTTCCACATGCCTGGGAGCAACTAAGTCCATGGGCCACAACTATTGAGCCTCTGCTATGGGGCGCAGCGAGTTGCAACAACTGAACCCACGTGCGCTAGAGCTCATGCTCTGCAACAAGAGAAATGCTGGCGCAGGAACAGAGACCCAGCACCACCAGAAGTAAATAAAAATAAAAAAAACAAACCTCACTCTGACCCCAGGCCCTGGACCCAAGAACGAAATCAAAGTCACCGTTCATATTTGCTTCACATGGCACTGAACCCCCTTGGGGGAGGCCTGTTGCTGTTGTCTAGGGGAAACATAAGCAATATTTTACATACAGCGGTGCCTGAGTGTTGTTCGGTCATCCAGGACCATTCTTGGACAGTCATCGGCCCAGGGGGCAGCAGAAGCAACTGAAAGCCCACATCAGCAGTCCCCAAACACAGCGACTTCCCTGGTGGTCCAGTGGTTAAGAATTCACCTGCCAATGCAGGGGACACAGTTTTGATCTCTGGGCTGGAATCTAAGATCCCACGTGCCCCAAGGCAGCTGAGGCCTGGCGCCACATCTGCTGAGCCTGCAAGCCCTAGAGCCCGTGCTCCACAAGAGAAGCCACTGCAATGAGAAGTGCATGCACTGAAACTGCAGAGTAGCCCTCACTCATTGCAACTAGAGGAAAGTCCAGGCAGCAACGAAGACCCAGCGCAATCAAAAATAAAATGAATTAAATTAAAAAAAAATAGCAACAGTCCCCAAACAAGTCGCCTGTCATCTGGGGATGAGTCTGGGATCTCCACTGGACCTGGAGCTCCATGAAGACAGGGACCACGGCTGCCTCATCACCACCATGGTCTTAGGTGCTCCCACTGGCAAAGGATGCTCAGAAAACCATGGGAAACAAGAGATGCTGGAAGCCTCATTGGTTGTAATCTCTCACCTCAGTTCCCTGGAACAGTTCACCTCAGACCCTGGCATGAGGCCCCACTGCAGGTCAGAGACACAGTCCTGACTGGTCCCAGACACCCTAAATCCCAACCAGGGAAACTCCATCAGGCTCGCCCAGCCCCTGAGAAAGTGCAAGGAGGCCCTGCATTCAGGGACTCCTGAACAAACACCAGCAATGCTTCTGGAATGTACCGCTCATCTGCGGAGTCAGGGACTTCCCCTCAGCACCAGGGTGTAAAAAGACTGAACTTCCTCCTGGGTTGTAGGAAGTTTTATCACCATCTGGTCTCAGGGATCCCCTACTAGGGAGCAGGTAGGAACTTGGTGGAACTTCATATTTTCTGAAGAAATGTCAGGTATGCAGCATGCCCGTTAGGAGGCAAGACTGGGACTCCCCAGGGCCAGAGGGCCCCAACCTCTGATGTCTGATCGTGCTATTTATTCTCCCTGCAGACGTCAATGTCACAGGCTGGCCCCTGCTCCATGTAACACAGGCGACCACTTGCCACACCTGATGGTCAGGCCACATCCCTTCCTGCTTCAGATATTGTGAATCAGCAGAAGCAGCAGTCACAACACAGAAAAAAAAGCTACTCAAATGACAAATGACGACAAATAGGACTTTTACAGTGAATGGGATCTGATCCATCTCTGGCAGGGCTGCAAGTGTTGAATCCATGTCAGAAGCCCTAGAGATGACCTGTAACAACACCTCTGAACTAGAAACTTTAAATTTTTTAAATTTAATTTTAAAACTTTAATTAAAAATGTTAATTGAAGTGTCATTGATTTACGATGTGGTGTTAGTTTCAGGTGTAATTAGTTCATTTCAAAGTGAACAGGGAACTCTATTTCCCAAGGAAGAGATTGGGGCAGGGACTTCCCTGGTGGGGCATAGGTAAAGAATCCACCTGCCAATGTAGGATGGAGAAGGAAATGGCAACCCACTCCAGTGTTCTTGCCTGGAGAATCCCATGGACAGAGGAGCCTGGTGGGCTGCTCTCCATGGGGTCGCAAAGAGTTGGACATGACTGAAGCGACTTCGCATGCACGCATACATTGGAGAAGGAAATGGCAACTCACTCCAGTGTTCTTGCCTGGAGAATCCCAGGGATGGAGGAGCCTGGTGGGCTGCTGTCTATGGGGTCGCACAGAGTCGGGCATGACCCAGCACAGCCAAAAATAAATAAATAAAATTATTTTTTTTTTAAAAGAATCCACTTTGCAAGGTAGGGAATCAGGTTTGATCCCTGGTTGGGGAATTAAGATCCCACATATTTGGGAGCAGCTAAGCCTGAGCGCCACAACTCCCGAGCCCACACGCCACAGCTAGAGAGTCTGTCTGTGCTGCAACGGAAGATCTCATGGGGCACAACGAAGATCCTATGTACTGCAACCGAGACCTGATGGACCCAAGTAAGTAGATTAAAAAAAATTGGGGACATTTTTGGGTAGGATGTAAAACCAGTTCACTTGGGCATAAACAGTATTATGTTTTACGTGAATAAGAATAGACTAGAATACCAGAGAAAGTGCTCTGAGCAGAATCCTCAGCTATGTTGTTTCACGCACTTTTCTCTGTGACTGTATATGAGCCGCATGATGTAATATCTATTTCCCTCGGTGAGTCACTAAACCCAGTGGTTAGTACACTTGGGAATAGAGAAGGTTTGGGGGAATCACCTTCTCTTTTCCTGAGAAACCCTAACTTAACCTGCCCCATCACGTCGTGTTCCCATGAAGGGGTTCCTCTCTTCGGTCCTCAGTGTTACCAGGAGTGTCCTGGAGGAATACAAACCTGGTCGGCGCGATCAGGAAGGGACGTGAGGCCAGACCCGGATCCCGGCCGGGGTGAGGGACAGGAGCACGGTGCAGAGGCCAGAGCGGGGAGTAGCATCACTGAGGAGGGAGGAGCACAGTCCCCCACCCCCCGGCCTGGAGTCTGGTGTCTCAGGGCCGCTGAGTCAGGCCCTGCGGTGGGACAGAGGAGGGGTCCCCGACACTGCAGGGGAGACTCAGAGGCTTGCTGTTGGGAGGACAGCGGGGGGCCAGGCCAGGGCTCGATGGACTCTGAGAGCCCTGACTCGACAGCCATGAGGCTTTGGGCTGACATCCTGCTTCTGTTCCTTCTCAAGTGTCATTAAAAACCATTACACGTGGTGCTATCCAGTGCCACCGCCAGCTCCTTCAGAGACCCCCCCACTCCGCTTCTGCCTGATCTCAGCTGGCCTCAGCCTGCAGCGGCTTGAGGCAGGATTTCAGTTCCCTGCCAGAGACTGGAGTCATTTCAGTTCAGTTCAGTTCAGTCGCTCAGTCGTGTCCGACTCTTTGCGACCCCATGGACTGCAGCACGCCAGGCCTCCCTGTCCACCACCAACTCCCGGAGTTTACTCAGGCCGCCGCAACGAGAGCACCAAATCCTAACCACTAGCCCACCAGGGACCAGGGGTCAGTGACAAGGCCCAGACCCATCAGCTGTGTAGAAACAAATTTCCACATAGAGAGGGAAAGAGATGTGATGCAAGGCGAGTGTTTACTGAGAGGAGTAAGAGTGTGTGTGGATAGACACGTGGGAGGGCTCACCGCAAGTTACACCCTCAGGGTGGTTTGAATCACTTTTCTGGCGCATTTCTCCCGGGTCTCCTTTGTCCAGTCATCTTGCTCCCGTGTGTTCACGTGCATCTCTGAGCCAACATGGAATCTAGTGGAAATGGCTATGGGTGGGAGGACATCACTTACTAATTGGTGACACCTATTGGCATTTCTGTGCATGTGTCATTGACTTTGAGGATGAGGGGCATGTGGTTTTTTGTCTCCTATCTGGGCAGGGCCCGGCTGCTCTCTTGCTCCTGCTGCTCTGGGGTTTCTCTTCACAGGGAACCATTCTAGCTGTTCACCCTGGGGCCCATCTGTCTCCTGCCTCTTGCCCTCCTGGGTCCTGTCTGTGTATGGATGGCTCTGACTTCTGCTCCTGAGCCCAGCTCTGTGAGGATGCTGAGCAGAAGCTATCTCAGCTGTTGGGACTCTGCCTCTACTGTGTGTAAAAGATGCTGGGTTTTTGGATGGTAAGTATGAAATCAATTGGCCATTTATTGAATTCTCTCAACCTGATCCCTGGATTCAAGCGAGACACTAGGCTGAGGTCCCATGCTGGTCGGTGATACAGGCTGGAACAAACCCCAGGCCCCCTAAATCCCTCCAAGAGCCTCCAACCCCGCTGGCCCAGCCCATCTGGGAAAGGCAGGCCAGCCCTCATCACAGACACCCCTGAATAAGACCCGCCATGTCCTTCCCCCAGCTCCAAGTCCAGGATGGCAGGGCCGGGCTCCTGGATGGGAAAGCCAGGATGATGCTGTAAGTTCCCGTTTTCACCTGCTTTGTTGCTGGATTTCCCTTTGTCCCAAGAATAAATGGACTAAATCTTCCTCCTGGCAGCATCTAGTGTTGTTTTTATCTGGCCAGAGAGAACCTCTCCCAGGAAACTTACAGGAGGTGGACTTACAGGAGGACAGAGTGTCAGGAATGCAGGAGAAGGAGCTGGGGGTAGAAGCATGACCCAGAGAAAGGCACCTCGTTTTTAGGACTTACGGAGGCCTTTGTTTGTATGTCAATGCACGACCCAGAAATTTCTTTCTTTTTTTTTTTTTGCTGTATAATTTCTATTTTTAAACATTTTTATTGGAGTAGAGTTGATTTATAATGTTATGTTAATTTCTGATGTACAGCAAAGTGGTTCATATACATATATACTTTTCCATGATGGTTTATTACAGGATATTGAATATATTTCCCTGTGATTTACAGTTGGACTCTGTTGTTTGTCCAGGCTATATATACCAGTTTACATCTGTTCATCACAAACTCCATTCCATCCCTCCCCAGTCCCCTCTCACTCTTAGCAACCACAAGTCAGAGTCTGTTTCTGTTTTGAAGATAGGTTCATTTGTGTTGTATTTTAGATTCCATGTGTAAGTGATATCACACGGTATTTGTGTTTCTCTTTCTGATTTATTTCACTTCGTATGATAATCTCTAGGTGCATCCATGTTACTGCGAGTGGCATTATTTCATTCTATTTTATGGCTGAGTAGCATCCCATTGTATATATGTACCACATCTTTATCCATTCATCCATTGATGGACATTTAGATAGTTTCCATTTCTTGGCTATCACGAATAGTGCTGCTATGAACATAGGGGTGCATGTATCTTTTTGAATTGTAGTCTTCTCT